CCGCATTTTTGGACAGACAGCCTCCTGTCCCCTGGAAGCCCTCCGCCTCGAATCCGGTGTCCAGAGCTACACGACAACTTCGAAACGACTGGTCGCGGTTTCGAGAGAGAAAGCCTACATGCTTCCCCACAGCATCCCCGGCGCATCGCTCTCGAAGGCAACACCTCCCACAGACTGTGCAGAGACAGCTGGAGGGAGAGGAGCAAAATACTTGAAGAGCAACTCCCCACCGACCTACAGAAGAGGCTTCCCCTTCAACAGATCAAGGAACCGCCTTGGAACTGCTATCACAGACGCTGGAGTGTATCCACCATCCTAGCAGGAAAGAACAGAAGTAACGAGGCGAAAGACGAAGCGATTAGCATCATCGGCAACTCTGGTGCTGACTTGGTCGTCTATACGGGCGGTTCGGCAGCCGAAGGTGCCAGGAACGGAGGTGCAGGGCTTGTCGTCACGAGAGGGAGCCCTGCGACCCCGTAGTTTTGCATAGCGCCAGCATCAAAGGCAGGCCATCACCTCGTCCTTTGAAGAAGAAAGAGAAGCTTTTGGAGCAGCGCTGAACTGGATAGAAGAGTTCAACGCCGATACCATCATCATGATCTGCACTGACAGCCAGTCCCTAGCCACTGCTCTCGAAGGCGACGGACCTGAGACTTCCGATCTCAGCCTCACTTTGGACTCCCTCAGGCGCCCGATCAAGATCCAATGGATCCCAGGCCACATGGGTATCCAAGGTAATGAGCTGGCCGACAGAGTAGCCAACGAAGCATGTAATCTCACAGACGAATCCAAACCAATCACTCTGAAGAGTGCAATTTCTACAATTAAACGATCCTTCAAAGACTCTCCCCCCCCCCCAACATGCCCGGACGGCAGAAACCCATGCAAACCTGTCTACATTACGCGACGAGAAAGCTATTCTAAGCCGAAAAGACGCTACGATGATTGCGCGCTTGAGATCTGGCCACAGCTTGAAGTTGGTAGCCTATCGGCACCTCATGAACCCAGCCGAAGACCCCACCTGCCCGAAATGTCACGAAACCCCGGAAACGCTAGAAGACTGGTTACTGGAATTTCCCGGAACAATAGCAGCAAGACAAGAAATTTTTGGCACAACTGACGTGGGACTAGCCAATCTATCTCAAGATCCAGACGGAACTACGATGCTGGCGAAGAGATGCCTTTAAGAGCTCCCTTCGACATAACCACAATCAACAAACAACAACAAAAAACAGCAGCAGTAAAAATAACGACAACAACAGCTATTAAATCAGCAACCCGGTCCAAAAGAAATGGCTTTGAATGGCGTGTTGGGTATCAACGAAACCTCCTTGTATTGAAAATTGCCCCATCCTCAAGTCAGAATTTTTGGTCGATGGACTCTCTCCTGCCGCCCGGTTTCGGTGTGCAAAGGAATGGCCCCAGCTCCTTTTCTCTGCCTCACGATGAAGACTGAATAAACTGAGAGCAACTCGGTCCCCGAGAAGCGTAGCAAGTGCCAAATGAAGTAGGGACCAGGTTTGACGCCCTTCTCATGTGTCATTACTTCCATTCATGCAAAATGTTACAAAAAGACAGAACGCAGTAGCCTGTCACGATACAAAAGCGACCAGAGATGATGATGCCATAGGCACATTGGTCTCGAAACATGCATGCTGTCTAACGCTGCCTCAAGAAAAAACTTGATAAGCTGCAGCACTTGCAAGTTAGCTTTCAGAGCCAAACAACGCTCGCTAACTGATAGAATAGACGGATGCAACTCTCAGTGTCATATTAAGAAATAATTCAATAACATCGGTAGATATGATCCAGTGAAGTGAGTGTGCCCTACCTACTCGAATGATACCGTGGTGAGAACCAACGCTAGACGGTCTGCATCCAGCCTCACACAGTCGGGGCCATCCCAGATGAAGAGAAGCAGCCATGCAAGGTTTGCCAGACAACCATTGCCAGTAATAAGACCGGGAGCTTTTGTCCAAACTGCAGACGCTAGTTCCACAAATCCTGCGCTTGTAAAAATGGGTTACACCAGAGACCAAATGAAGATCACAGCTACAGGAGTGAACTGGAGCGGTAACAACCATGACAAGCCTGCTGAGCAACCACCTAACGAGTTTGACACTGCTGAGGACAGAATGAGAATAGCTGCGAGGATGCACGAAGGCTCTCTCCGCATCCTCTGCTGGAACGCAGATGAGATCAAGCTGAACATCCGAGAGTTTTCTCACAGAGTGAAGGAGCTGGCTCTAGCGCAGGAGTCAAATCTCCGCGATGAAGTCAAAAATCCAGAGATAAGCGGTTACAGCTATGCGTGTGTGTAGAACAAGCTGAAACCAGAGCAGCTGGTGGTCATCTCATCTATATCAAAGAAGATGTAGTATACAAGTACCGATCTACATCCCGCGCAACCGTGGAGTAAACGTAGAAGCATTACTAGTCCTCGAGAACATGCGATCGGATGAAAATCGCTTGATCGGAAGTGACGTCAATCGCCACTCTT